TGTGTGTGTGTGTGTGTGTGTGTGTGTGTGTGTGTGTGTGTGTGTGTTCATGTACACATGTGTAACTCATGCACAGAGGACCGAGGAGGACATCAGCTAACCTTCCGTATCATTTTTCACTCTATTCCCTGAGGCAGGAATTCTCACTAAACCCAGAGCGAGGCTAGCAGCCAATAAGCCCCCAGGCATCCTCCTGCCTCAGCGAGCACACTACCTCGACCAGCTTTTTAATTTTTGCCAGGGATATGAGCTCAGTTCTTTGAGCTTGACTCTCATCTGCTTAGACATCTCCCTTGCACCAATAATTTTGAAAAACGTTTTTGTATGCCTCTAAAATTAGATACAATATAATGTCTCCTGCTGGAGGAGAAATAAACAGAAAAAAAAAAACAAACAAAAAACAGTTGTTGTTGATGCTGCTGACGACGACAACGATGACGACTGTTGACGATGATGATGACATGGGATAGGCTACTTTCTCTGTAGCCCAAGCTGGACTTGAATTCCCTAGTAGTTTAGGCTGGCCTCATTTTCACTGAAACCATCCTGCTTTAGCTTCTGTTCTGGGATAACAGGCATTTGCCACCACAACAAACAAAACAATTTTCAAAAGGCTCGAGGGAATGTCCTCATAGCAAGATAGATTGCTGTTTCAACACCAAAGGCAGAAAATCCTCCTCTCCAAGGAGAGGATTTACTCCTTTTTCAGCTTCTCAGCTAGTAGTTGACAAGAACAGCCTGTAGAGGGCGTCCTTGCACCAAGAGCCATAGAGGTCTGAGCAATACTAGGGGAGAAAAAATCTTCAACGAAAATCCCACACTCCAAGTCAGAGAAAATGTCTTGTGTTGCGAAATTATCACCTGTAACTGACTGACGCTGGCTTTACGATGTGAAAGGGTTGTGAGTTCGCCTAATGTAGTGAAACATTGTACAAATGAATATTCATTGTAGCAATAAAGTAAGATAAAGTGTTGGGGACAGATGTTTCGTTTTTTGAGATTAGGGTCCCAGGTAGCCCAGACTGGCTTCCAACTCCTAGGTAGATTAGTATTAACCATGAGCTCCTGATGCCCCTGCCTCGACTTCTTTAGCGCTCGGGTTACAGCGTGTGCCGCTACAACCGGTTTAAATGTTTTGCTTTAAAGGAAGAGTAGCTGTAAAGCGTTTGAGGCAAACGTCCTAATTGTGACTTGCTCACAATGAGCAATCCTTGCGAGAAAGGGCTTTGCGGTCAGAGCGCCCGATCGCGGTCCACCGTGATTTGAATTCTGACTCTTGTCACTCACCAGCTGAAGATCGGCCGTCGACTTACCGGACTTTTTAAAGCTTTAGTTCCCCATCAGTAAATCCAGGCTAGTAACAACAGCTACCAAAAGACCCGAAAGGGAATAAACACCGAAAGTATTTTAAAAATGAAGCTCCGTGTGGAGTTCACAGTCACAATGGAAGTCCTCTGTGTATCATTCCCCCGCCCCCATCCCCTTTACAGAATAACCTAACATTTGATGAACGCGCGCACATCGGAGTCCGACTTCTGTCTGTAGTATGTTTGCTTTTCCCTGCAGAGAAACCCGTTGCTCTGCAAAGGACCCAGCTCCAGAGCCTAGATTCTTGGGGGCATTTGTTGAAAAGCCAGTGGGCGCCAACAAACAAACAAACAAAACAAAGCTTTTCCTGAGTCTGAAAACTTTCTCTGTTTTTTGAAAAACGGTTTGATCCCTCTTTCTCTGCACATTCAAGGAGTCATTACCCCCCGCCGTAGGTAACGCTGGAAGCCGCTGCCAGCTAAGCGCTCTTCCCACAAGACCCTTGGTCTTGTCCACAGACTCCTAAGATTTCAGGGACTGGACACGCGTCTCCAATTTATTATTTTCAAAACCATTTTTTTTTTAAGGGGAGTCCTGTCCTCATGGGGCGGGGAGGGTGGGGAGTGCAGCTACAGGTATCATCCGGGACCTAGGGACCTAGTCTGCGTGCACCTGGGTTGTCGAGAAGACAAACCGCGCCACCTGTTGGGTATCTGTCCAGTGCAGAAACGAACGCCCTGGGAGGACCAGCGCCTGCAATAGCCCCGCCAAACCCTTGGAGTCTCGTTTTTAACTTCCCCCGAGGGTGCAAACTGTCAGCTCGACAAGACGGAGTTAGCAGGCAGGCACACAGAGACGCAGTCTGAAAGCAAAGGCGGACTGCGTGCGTTCAGTTAGCCCCGGGCTGAATCTTCGACCCCCGGTCGAGCCCAGCCCTTTCCGGTCTCCGCATCCCCGCCACCCCCACATTTCCCTCTCCCGGCGACAGGGGGATCGAGTGACGCCCCAGAAGTCCCTCTGGGTGCGTTTCTCGGTCGTGTCCCCATCGCCTAAGGCCGCGCTCCATTCACCTGGCTCAGGGAGCGAGCGTGCTCTCTCGCGGCCCCGCCCCCGCGGCCCGACAGCGCCCCCTAGTGGCGGCCGCCTGCTCCTCGCCGGCCGCTCTCCGCGCTCGCCGGTGCCAGCCGTTCCCCGCGGTTCCTCCCTCCCGCGCGTGAGCCTCTAGCCGCCGGCGCTGCGGGACGCGCTGGCATCGCCAGCTCCGCCAGCCTCGTGTCTCCGCGGTCCCCCCCCCCCCCCCACCAGGCTCCCTCCTTCTGCGCGGCCGCGCATCCACCCCCTCCTCTCCCGCTCTCCCCCGGGCTCACTCGCCCCGGAGACTGAAGACTTGCACGCCCAGCTGGTTGAGTGGGACCAGCTCCAGCCCCGCCGGCTGCAGCCAGGGCGCAAACTTCACAAGCAGCACAGGTTGGATCGCTGCGGCAGGAGCTGCCCCACCGGCGAGGAGATCCTGAGCAGCATGGCTCGGAGAGGCGCTTTCTCTGCTTTGGCGCTCAAGTTCTGGAGCATCCTACCTTGCCTGCTCCTGCTGCGAGCGGACGCCGGGCAGCCGCCCGAGGAGAGCCTGTACCTGTGGATTGACGCCCATCAGGCCAGGGTGCTCATAGGTAAGGCGTCTGCACCTTCTCAGCCCGTCCTCAGTCTCTCCTTTAGAACAGAGGCACAGACACCGAGTGAGTTTTAAAACTTAACTTCGAGGGTGATTGCGTCCTCCTTTCAAAATCAGTATTTTCCATTTGGAAGCTTGGGAGTTTCTTTCAAAAAAAAAAAAAAAAAAGCCGACTTGCCAACCCTGCTGTTGCTGGTGCTGGTCCTGACTGCAGAGCTGTTGCAGGAACCCAGCTTTAGCCCGGTCAGCTCTACTTTGTGCGAGCAAGCTCGGTTCTAAGGACCAAGGGAGGAGAGGGGACTCCGTTGGTACCGCAGGCAGGTGCTTTCTGTAAGGCAGGGACCGCCGCTGGTTCTCTCGGGTTTTGTTTTCTGCATGAAATGCCCGTTCCTTCCACGTGCATCTAGTTTGATAGCTTTGTTTATTTACACAACAGGATTTGAAGAAGATATTCTGATTGTCTCAGAGGGGAAAATGGCCCCCTTTACGCATGATTTCAGGAAAGCCCAGCAGAGAATGCCAGCTATTCCTGTTAATATCCACTCCATGAATTTCACCTGGCAGGCTGCAGGACAGGTGAGTTCTGATAACAGAGAGGCGGAGAAAATTCCTCTTTTGGGATTTCCACTCTATAATAATGCTATGTGATGTAGTACCATTTACAGTCTTAGGCAAGTTCTTGTCTGGTTGCCGAAGCAAATAAGGAATTAATTTCCAGCGTATTTAAAGTTGCCAAGTAAATGGAAGAATCTAAAGAACGATGTGCCTACAATCACCATTTTAATAAGATTTTTCTGTCTTGAGGTTTTGACTATAAAAACCCTAAATATTCATATCACTGTGCTTCGGTAATCATTGATATTAAAAAAAACAACAGAATATTAAGACTTTCTATACCAAGTAATAATCATTTGTAACATTATCTGTACTTTACAACAAAATAAGTTTTGTTTTCTTGACGTGCATTTTAAAAGGCTGATATGTTGAGTGTTGTGAATGTTGTAATTTCTGGTAGAGACGTTCAGAGACTCAAAAGGAATATAAAACTATGAAGAATAAAGATTACTGATTTTTTTAAAGTGGCCACTCAAAATGCTTTCCTCTGGAAAAAAAGAAAGAAAAATCTGTGTTAATGAGCCATTCCCTTTCGTACTGAACATGTGATCACCTGTGTGTGCTACTGTTTATACATCATCCTCATGATAGTATCAAGGTCCTCTTATTTGGGAAGAATAGAATGTGCGACTTCATTTTTTTGTGGCACAATTGTCTAGAGGACAAGTGGTAAGTAATAAATTCTGCTCATTAATTGATAAAAAAATGTGCCTTACCCTAATAACCATTGTAATTATAATTAACTGCATATTTTCAGGTTTTCTTAATTCTAAAATTACTTAAATAGCCATTCTCAAGTGGAATGTAATCAAGAAAACATTGTATAAAAAGCAACTGTGCTAAATCAGGAAACCACGTTGGTTCCCTGTAATTGCCTATTACAGTGCAGGCATGACCGTTTCAGCTGTCTTTTTATCCACAAGCATGTTGTATTTTAAAAAAAAAAATCTTCTTTTAAAAATAGATCCCACCCAGACTTTAGTGTTCTCATTGCTATGCGTTTTTGTTAGCCGATGTTTGGTAGATCTAGGTCAGACATTCTACGGCCCCATTGCATAGGGAAGTTCATTGGAGCCTCTGTTGTTCTTTTTCCTGCCATCAGTTCTCTCCTCATAGATATTTTATGTGCAATTCAGTTCGGTATATTGTGAAATCAGTAATGAATAGCTGGCCTCTAATGGTTTCCTTCTCTTTCACCAAATCTGTTTGCTGGTGGTTGACCACTTGCTATTGCTCTCAACAGTCTATATTTTAAAGATACTTTTTCATAATAATGGATCCTCCAAAAGCATGAGAAAATTTTTCAGCCTTCACCCCAACAGGTGAAAGGGTTGCATCATTGTAGAATGGTAGAAACTGCCAACCCCAACATACAAATACATACACACACACACACACACACAAATGCACATGCGTGTTCTAAGGCATTAAAAGGGAAGGCTTCAATTCCATGCTCTCTTCTCTATTGCTTTTTAATAGTGCATGTTCACAAATATTGGCCTCTCACTGAATAGAAAACAGATTTGTGTAGTCAGCAATCTCAGAGTTGTCTTGTGGGGGCTTAGAGGAAGTAGTAGAACTAGCTAAAGATGAAGTCTCTAGTATTTATTTTCTCCTGCTTAGGTGTTGATTAAATGTATGGCTTATCTCTTTAAGTAGAACAATATTATCACCTCAAGCAAGTTACTTTGTTCTCTGTGGAGAGATGACTCAGGTCATTCCATGCAATTTGAGGGTAGCCTAGGTAGAACTCACAATGCCGAAAGATATGTGGTTTTAAATCTTACTTAAATGTAACTAATTTTGCTCCCTAAAATAGTGTGATTCCAGCATCATACCTTTAATGCCAAGGAAATTTGAATATAGGAAAAAGTAATGACTTCAGTATCAATTAAGTATTTTGAAAGGCATGCATAGCTAAAGCCAAACCTCATCAAAACATGAAAAACGAGAAGTTCACCCTAGCATCTAGTTATTTAATCCAAATGATATCAAACACTTACACATTTCAACACTGCAGAAATGAAATATATCTGATTGACTAAATTTTAAGCCTTAGCTGTTTTAGCAACATGTGGACAAAGTATTTTTTTTAAAGATACAAGACCTAGTAAAAGAAATAAGGAATAACCTATTTCTAGTAAATTTTGAGTCCAGTCATCAGAAATGTTATGAGCCATGTAAAGTATATCCCACGCTCAACTTCAGAAAAGTTCAAGGAACTTCAGAGAAGTTCAAGTGAGCACTATTTTTTTTGCAGAGAACTGATCACATCTTCTGCAAGTGCTTTCAGTGTGTGGGGATTGGGCACTCTTAGGTCTGATGTATGCAGGAGACTTGCAGCCGGTGGAGGAGGAAGACTCAAATGCAGCCTTTTCAGTGGGATATTTTATTTCCAGAAACAAATATTAAGAAAATTGCTATGAACAACTGTTACACAAGTTTGGCCAAAAAGTCACTTTGGAGGTTCAGAGATCATGGCAGTATAGGATGAAGTGATGCATATTCTAGACATCATTTGAGGCCCTGGGAATTGTTTTTTCTTTCTTCTTCTTCTTCTTTTTTTTTTTTAATAACAAATTAGCCTGTGATAATAGTACATTTTGTTTGATTCCATTACAAGCAGGTTGGCGATTGCAGGAGAATCCGTTCGATCAGCCTCCAGTCTTTTAAGGCATGAGCACTGCCTTAAAAGGTGCTGTGACCTCTCGTTATCCCAGTTGTGAGCATGGGTTGGTCTCTCATCTAAAAGCTAATTTTATATTCGATGTGCGGGAATGGATGAGTTTAAACACGTATTGGACGAGTTCAGAATCGTGTGATGTTCTAAGTTACAAACACTTGATGAATATCTATTATCCCACATGGTTCCTATACTACCTACCACTCAAGAAAATGGCAGAATCAGTGGTGTTTTCATGGGCAATCATCCATAGAGACCAAGATCTCACTAATGCTCATGTGGTCTCACCATCTTCTGAGGTCCTCAAAACCCTGCTTTTGCGGACTCCTTCCCTGCCTCAAATCATCCTACCTGGATTTCCTTTCTTCTTTTGGTTGGTCGGGTGGGTAGGAATCTCTCTATATATATAGCACACTCATTTTCTAGCCTGCCTTTTCTAAAGGCTTTCAGCTGAGAAGAGTTTCCACTGAAAAGGGCTTGGGCTTAAAGGGTTTGTAGTCACGAAGGGGAAAGACCCTTTACTGCTGTGTACAACTGTTTAACAGTTGTTATTTTTCAGTGAGTCTGTGCCTTATTCGTATTTTCTAAATTTGAGACAGGCAGAGACCATAAACAACCATTTCGGTTTTCTAAATTAGGCGCTAATTAAACATTTTATTTGGAAAATAACACTTCCTAAACCCCAAGGCTTTCAAGTAAAACTTTTAATGGGAGGTTTTGTTAGACCAATCTGAACTCTAGGACGTTGATGCTGAGTTCCACATGAACAAATTTGGCACAAGGCCAAATGTTTTATTGACATAGTTCCTATGAGTAGATCTTCATGCATGAGGCTGAGAAGGACTTGGTCTTTTAATGAGAACATAGCCTATTACCTGCAGAAGTATTAGGGCATTATGGATCTAGAACTTAGCTAATGAGGATTATTGTTTATTCATTATTATTTTGGGATGCATCTATTTTTATGTTGCTTTTTTCCTTTCTAGTCTTTTCTTGTTCTTTTTCTCTTTTTTCTTTCTTTTTTTTTTGGGGGTGTGTGTGAGGGGAGCTAGGTTGACAGATTCATGCTAATCCACCAGCATTGAGTTTCCATTCTTTTTATGGCCAAAAGTCTGAATTTCTTAGTTGGATGACAAGGAAGGCCTGGGGCGAAATTGCTGTCCGTGGACTAGAAATTTGTTGGGTGAAGACAACCAGCCCATGAGAGCTTCAAATCTATCACCTGCATTACAGAGAAAAGCTCTAGCCATCAGGGCCAGCATGTCTGGGTCTTAGAGAAAGCTTTTGGTGAAGCAGAGTCTGTACAGCTCATACAGGCACTAGAAGGCAGCAGCGTAGCTTCGTTTTCACAGTATTTTTCTGCTGTCTGCTGTCCTGTGGATGCCTTTATTTTAGAAGACTTGAATTTATCAGGCCAGACTGCAGCAACATGTTCCTTTGTGGTTTTATTTATTATGTGCCTATGCTGTGTGCCCACATGGGCTCATGGGTGAAAACCAGAGGACATTGGGTGTCCTGTCACCCTCTACTTTATTCACTTTATTCCCCTGAGACATGGTCTCTCATGGAACCCGGAACTAGACTGATAGCCAGTCTGCTGTAGCAATCCTTGTCCCCACCCAGCACACACAGCTACACCTGGCTTTTTACATGCATTATGTTCAGGCCTTCATGCTTGTTCAGCAAATGCTCTTATATACTAAGCCACCTCCCCAGGCTCCTCTTTTGTTGCTATGCATGGCCATCAAGAATAGAAAATACTGGGCTAGATAAGTAATTCAGTAGGCAAGAACCTGATGCAAAGTTTTGGGGTTAGTCCCTTGCACCACCCAAAGCAACAGGAATAGACAATACATACGGTGAAGTTGCAGCGTATCAAACGAAGCACTTCTTCCATGCAGCATTAATGATGAGTGAATTAATGATCCCCATTAGCTCCCTATCAGCTAAAGCCAGTCTTGAACCATTGAAATCTGCTTAAAAAAATAATGGCTAAAGTACACAGAAAACAGGAAATCCTTGCCTGGACTTGCTTTGTGAATGAGTTCGGGCAGTCACACCCAACTTCAGTTATGAAAAGAGGAAAGCACCACTAAAAGGGATAGGAACGAAACCCGGGCCATTTCTCCGACAGCCAACTCAGATGTTGACTAATTTTTTTTTTTTTTTAAAGAAACAGAATGATTGTACAGGTACATTCCAGTAGCACCAACTGGATGGTCTGACTCCATCAGTCGAGTGCTGCAGCATGCCAGAGGGCCTCTGCTCCCAAGGCGGA